CTCATCTTCCTCCATTTGGCAAGGTATGCCTTGAGAAACTTCTCTTTCATGTTCTTCCTATGGAATTATTAGTATACCATGTAGATGGAGGGAGAAAGTGGCTTGTATCTTAAATGAAGATCAATATGGGTTAGAACTTAGATGGTGAAACAGATGAGTTGAAAGAAAGAGTTATATAGCTGTGGAATTTAAAAAGAGTGCCTTTGAAGACAGCATTAAACAGTTGACATGACCTTCTAGGCATTGATATAAAATCTAGATTGAGCCTACCATTTTAACCGATTGAATCAAGGATTGAATAAATTAATTAGAATCAAATAAGTGTTAAAATACAAATATATTTTAAAAAGTAAAGAGTCGAAATAACATAATTATCAAAATGTCGGGTAGTATATTAATAATGATATTTCCTGTGATAGGTGTAAATGTACAAGTACTAGTGGTGTACCCTTCCTTTTTAACTTTATAGCACTAGCATTTGTGTCTTAATACGAAGGTGTACGAACATGCTAGACAGTGACACATAATCCATTTAATACATCAACAAGTTGAAAGTGGAAAAGATAAGATATGGAAGAGGGATGGGATAAGCTTCTTGGGCAAAGTGCGATCCCACTAATTGGTCTTCACATATATTTTTTTTTAATAAAAAAGAGAGGTATCATTAAAACTCCCTTCATAACCGTCAAGAACCGTAATGTATCTCGACGGACATTGGAAGGAGAAAAAGAATGCCTCAAAATTTTATTACCAACGAACAAAAGTACATTATAACCAATACATGAGAATCATCTAAGAGCGATAAAACAACCTATAAGAACCAAGAAACACAAGTTCACCCAATTCCTATCTTAGTTAATTCATCCGCTTTACAATTCACAACTCTACTAACATGTTTTACAATAACATTCATATTTTCTACCAAGGAAACAATTTCCTTGACCAGCGAGTTAAATAGCTTAGGACAAGAACTCGACCATTTGATCCAATCTACCGCTTTACTACTATCGCTCTCCAACATAAGTCTACCCTCGAGCTCCAACTTGACTTCAAGAAGAATAATATACCAGCTTTAATAGCCAACAATTAATCCAAAATTGAAGGGCCCGACCTAACACTCTCGAAAAAGTTCCCAGCACCGCCCCGTCTTCATCCCTGAGTATACCACCTATACCCCCTTTACTACAAGACTTCTCCACAGCTCCATCTACATTAAACTTGAAAAAACCCTTGGGAGGAGGACACAGCGAAGAAGCGTCAGTGTTGCCACACACCCAGAAATATGCTAAAGCTGGGTTCCCCACAAGACAATCAAACATAATAGGGACATCATGAAATTTTGCCACGAACCAAGAAACCAGTCTGTACCTTGTTAGGGAGTGCAACATGGAAATGTTCAGCTTCCTACCTTCAAAGATTATCTCATTCCTGAACTTCCAGACAAGTGATTAGTAAGTGTGACTCGTATTATCGGTGTGATTTAGTTGAACAATAATCTAATTTAAGATTAATTTATAATGAATTTAATCTAAAATATTATACCGTTCAACCTAAAAAGTTATATAGTTGGTAACAATTTTGGTTACAACCGTAAATACTATATTACGATGGATTTTAATTTAAAATGTTACATGTCTATTTTAAAAAGTTACAAAATTAGTAATAATTTTAGTTATAATTACAAATTTATGAATGATAATTTTATATTGCAATGGGAATAATTATGCAATTTACATTATTTATTATGAAAAATAAATATTATTGGTTTCAACTTAAAAGTTACCAAATTTATTTTAAAAAATTATACCCTTGGTAAATTTATCAGTTACGATCAATTTTTAACTTTTTTTAATCTAATATCAACCGATTATATTTTAATCTCATCCAATAATATCATTGAATAGTAAAATATACATATATTTTCTAGGTTTAAATTTCATTGTATATGAACTTAATAGGGATTTATTGTGTTGAGTTAATTTGAGTCAAATTTCGAATACCTGTAAGAATTGATTTCGATTAAGATTATCGATATAATTGTGAGTTGTAATTTTAAAAAAATTAGTGAAAATTAAAGGTTTTTATTAATTTATTTATGCCTCCCATTTCAGTCAACTTCATGTAAAGTAAAACCATTGAATGTGATTGAAGTAGATAAACTATTTTTTTTTTGTTTGGGAGTTGGAGATTTCTTAGCTGGAAATCACGTTCGGTGAAATGGTGTAAAATGAGGTAATCCCCCACTAACACTAATTGATTAATTTCGGCAGATTTTCTCTAGAAGGAAGCATTAGTTTTCTTTCTTTCTTATGTGTTGTTTTGGGTAGGTTTTGTTCACTTTTCGGCTATAAGTTATCAGATCTCGGATCTGGATGGTGGTGCACATAGTCCACAGGCTCACCCTGTCTGTGCATGCATGTAATGGGATAAATATTCACACACACGTACAACGGAGAGGTCATATCTTCAAGATAAGGGTTCATAGATTTTAATTTTTAATTTTTGACCCATTTGTTTAAGAGATTGATGAACTTATAGAATTTGAAGACGTGATTGTCAAATAAAAATTCGTGTGTACATATATATATATAGAGAGAGAGAGAGTTCTTAGAAAGTTATATTTTCATACTCATTTCGCATGCTACGATAGAGATGAAAATCTTAAAAAATTAATGGATACAAGCAATAATAAGCCACATGTAATTTGACTATTTATTATGAAAAAGAAGGAATGGAGACAAACAACTTAGGTTAGGGTCATTGCTAATGGTTGATAGTTGGAGACATTCCTTAAATATCTTTCGCCTCCATATCTTACCGACTGACCAGTAGGCATAAAAAATATGCATACGTAACATTACCATATTCAATGAATTATATTAACAGGATTCTCAATTATATATATATATATATATAAGTAAAAGAGTAAAATATCCATATCAAGCATGAAGTGTATACAATTTTTGAAACAGTATTCTCAATTTCGAATTCTGATTTTTTACAGGTTTTTTGTTGGTTTTCCAAAATATTTGGTTGAATATATGCAGTTGAACCGTTGGCCTTGTCGGTTTTTTTCCAGGGATATTTTATGTCGGAAAAGATATTATTTTGGATCATGAAAGACAATCAATGTCTCGACTTGTTTTCCAAACAAGAAGGCTTTACTGGCACATCTATTTTGAAGTGTTTAATTGATTTGAAACACTGAAAGTTCTAATCTGGGTCTTTTGTAAGCAATTTCTTTGGAAGTGATATTTATCTTGCAATTAGACATACTGTGAGGTGTAAGAAAAAAATGGAACACTTCTCTCGTGTTTGGTTGATGAGTATTAAAATAAAATATTTTATTGTTAAATAAATTTTAAAATAATGTCATAGCATAGAAGAGGCCTGACATTGTAGGGAAGAATTTGTAGTTAGTGATAGGGATGGGAATGGTATGGACAGTAGCTGTGAAAGGGGCATGCGTTCACACGAGGATCGGGCCACCCTCGTGTTTGATGAAAGTTCTTCAAAATGGCTCACACAACTCACTAAATCAGTTGATCGAGAAACACCAAAGCAAGCTAACAGGGAGTTGGTGAAACATCAAACCACGCTCGTTATAAGCCATAGGATGGGGTTATGGTCTTCGAGAGGAGTCCTGAATCATTGGTTGGGTGTTAGATATATAAGCCTTCACATAACCATTATTTTTTTACTCTTTCTCTAGATAAATCTCGTAAGCTTATTTTTAATAATCTAGAATGATTACAAGATAATATCCATTAACAATATTTTTTAATCATTGACAAAACACGTTTGAACTTACTGATGAGCTCACTTAACTGTAAGCTTTAAATATGCCACTGAAAATAATATAGGAAATGAAGCCATGGTTCTAAAGGAGAAAATATCTCCTTTTGGGGGCTCCCAAAGCCTTACTGTTGTGTTCCCAAACTCCCAATGATTTGATTGCAATTTTGTGTTTCGCTTAGCTGTCATCCTCTACTCACTTTATTTCATTCGCTCAACCCACGGCTGTTCCCATTTCCCATTAATTCCTTTCCATGCTTCCTACTCAGAAAAAACAAGGTAAAAAGCCTTTTTCATGGCTTTTTAACACTTGAATTCAGAGGGTTAAATCTAATATACATATACGCGTGCATTGTTCAACACTTATATAATGCCATTAACAACCAGGCAAACGATATGAAATGAAAATGCTATTCTTTAAATATAAGCTCAAGCCACTTGGTGTAACATTTACCCGATATTTGCTAATGATCTAAGTACATTTTTGGATTGCATGTTTTTGCTTTGCAGCAAATTACAAAACTTTCTTCAACCGCACTTCATCCTACGTAAATTTAAATGGAGTGACTTTAGCTGTTGTTCTCGGTTGTTTGGACGAAGGAACATAATGATCAGATAGTTTTTTAGGGCAGCGGGCCATTGAATATGGATGAATGGTTGCCAGTTCATGGATACGGCATACCACAGGCAATGGTAGGTGACGTACAGCATGCGTTTGGCTTAGTCTCACACTGAACTAACAGTTTAAACAATGAATCATAGCATAAGATACAGTATAAACAGTCTTAATGCTGAACACATTGACATGCAGAAGATCACACTCTTAGCCCTCTCAGTGATATAAATATATGACTCCAAGCATTTGGAATTCAAATTCCGTACTCAGTAATCTGAAGAGATAACTGCAAACTCGCAATCAAGGGACTAGTATAAAACAAACTGAATAATTTAGAGCAACAAACAATTAAAGAGAAGACTACCATCCTATCCAGGTGGAAGTAAATGAAGCCAAAAAAAGAAAGGCAGGAAGCAAACCTCTCTCCTGTTGTGTTTATGCAGAGCTAGACCTTAGATTTCGCCATTTGTCCTGTACAGAGCATACTTATTTAAAAATAATTCAATTTTTGAAAACAATGGGGAACCATATGATTGGATATAGCAGTGAGGTACCCTCAGATCAACTGGTGTTCGATGAGCAGATGATGCAAATAGAAGCCTTTTTACATCATCCATCTTCCAACACCATATTGAGCAATCCCATCAACCAACTTAATCACCTCCGCAAGGATCCACATCCTTTGATGCTTCCTCCTATCACAAGCCGTTTTGGATCTTTTGGTTCTCTTTTGCTCATCTTCGGATTCAGATGAAAAGGGCTCAGAATCAGATTCAAGTTCCTGCACAGAAAGCGATAAAATAACCTCACATTTTCAAGTTATCACGCTTAAGGAAGTTGTAGGGTTCACTCCAAGTTAAAGAAAAATGTAGTGAAGAACGAACAAAAGCATCAACTCCTTGATGGTCATTTGTCTTCTGTTTTCCCAATTCAATAATTTTCATAGAAGGAAATCTCACATAAAAAATATAGTTCAAATAAAAGTTCCATGGGTAAGTAGCAGTATCACTATATTGGTGCATATATGATGCCATAATTCTTCAATTAAAAGCAGCAAAAAAAAAAAAAAAACCCTCCCAGGATGTCAACACATATCTGTTACCAGAAAATTATAACCAATCTGCATCAAGCATCTATTAATATTTGTTTTTTTTCCTCATTACTTGAAATTTTCTGGTTGCAACGTTCACCACACGGTATTAAAGGCCAATATCTAAATATAAATAAAAGATGAACAGAAGCATAAAGAATAAGGATGCAACAATGGAACTACCCATACCAATTTTGGCACAATTTTCTTAAGGCGTCCTCTCTGTCGCAGGGGTTCAGACGCCACCTGAGGAAGGTCTCCTTGTGATCCAACTTTAAGGCACTTCTTTCCAGAAGTAGTAGAATTTCTAGAAAACTCTTCAATATACCTACTAGTAGGCTTCCTCAGTCGCTTCTGTCTTAAAAGGGTGCCACCTTTTATTACTTCAACAGAGCTTTTTACATTCTTAGTAGACAATATGAAACTTACTAAAGGCTTTTCATCATCATCAGGCTCATAAAAACTTTGCATATGTTCTATAGTAGGCCGAATAGTGTCCATAACTGGAGCCTGACAACCAAATTTGCTCTTGAAGGTATGATGTAATCACGACCTACCATCTTCTTGAGCACACCATTCTGGCTGTTGGATTCTTTAACAGTAGCAACTGATGGTTCTGATATGCAACCAGCACTGCTACAACTTCCACTAAACCTGGGGGTATGACTTTGTGAATTCAAGTTACGCAAATTTGATCCTTCATGAGAGCACAATCCGATTCAGAAAACTTTTCAGGAAATTCAATATCTGCACTTGAGGGAAAAGTAGAGGAACCACTATAGATGCGAATCATGTGCTTTAGCACACCAGGTAGACAATTAATACTCACCCAACTGAAAACCTTTACATGCAGCAGACAGATCATTGGCTGCTTGAACATCATCCACTTCATCAAGCAATCCATCAAGAACCTACTAAAGCAACATTTCATCGGATATCAGCATATCACCTATGCATGCTTACATGCAGTAAATACAATACACAACAAAAATGTATAACAAAAGTAAGGAAAACCAAAACAACCAAAAAATCATAAGACGAAAAATAAAAGGAAATAATGCATCAAAGAATGGCTTGGATGTGACAAAAGCCTCAAGAAGAAAACAATACATACTTCAAGCTTCGAATCATCTCCTCCTTGACTATAGAGCTCACCTTATCAGAAATCACAAACAATATTAACATCATCAGAAGAGTAACAAGCGAAATTGCAAATAAAAATCTGAACAAAGGTTTTCATGTGTCAACCAAGAGATTGTAAAGTTAATGTCTAGTTTATACCATTGTATAATGTCTTGTCCTTTTTAATATTTGATAACAATGTATAAACATCAAATCTTAGAAAATTAATCAATGTCTGTCCCTGCATCCCTTTGTGCCATAATTTTCATGTCTTGAAATGATTATGACTATCCATTACTTAAAATCAAATCTTAGAATGGCCAATACCACCCTGCCATCCAGTCCACAAGTCATAATTTCTACGACATTAACGATTATAATAGCTTTAGAGTTATGCAAGCCAACTAATGAGGAAAACAAATAAAGACAGATACTAAGCAGAATTATATCAGTTCAAACAAACAATTATAATTTAAAAGCCTAAATCACCAGTAACAATTCTTTAACCAGTTTAAAGCACGATTGATGTTGGTTCTGCATCTTCAAAACTAAGTACAGCGCAAAGTTGAGCACAATCATTCTACAAGAGCAGTTAGCAATTTCACACATTAAATACATGGTCTTTGCTCCTTGTTTTGAATTTTCCTCCCTGTAAATAGCTGTGCACTGAAAGAGGATGAGACAAATCCATCATAGAGTACTTATCAAAGATTCTAGATGCTTCTGCAATCTTAACATTGATAAAAATGAAAGCACTTCAAAGATTTCTTTTCCTTTTTAATTTTTGAAATGGGGGAATTGGCAAAAAGAACAGTGACAAGTTGTTGAAGAGTTTTACCACAATTAATTTTCCATCTGTAATCAAGAGCGCAAGAGAAGAAGTCCTCCATTTTCAAGTGTTTCTCTAAGTTTTCCTTCCCAAAACATACTCCGTCTACTGAAACATGCTCACTTTTAGGTTCTGCAAGTAAATGCTCAACTTGAGTTGCTTCTTCCAAGCCAGAAACAATGGACCCATCCACCTACATCCAGAGATCAAAAGCAGGGGAAGGAGGGTGGGGAGCAATATAGTATTTATCAAATTTACATCCTTATGTATGAAGAATAGCTCAAGCAAAAGATGTGAAAATGCAGCCAGAGACCGTAGAGGTAACCAAGTATCAATGGCAAGTGGCATGCAAAACAGAGAAACAAAGGATGGATTAATTGAAAAGATTAAAGAGAAGTTTCTTACCCTTTGACATTTTACATCAGCAAGCTTCTTTAAATGTGGTTTCCCTTCTGTTTTCATGTTATATAACCTTAGCTTGTACTACAATTCCTAGCTTGCATTCATGTCTCCAATTATTAATTAAACCAAAGATGGAAATTAAAACATTAGTAAACAACAAATAAGTTTAATTTAAACACCAGGAAACAAACACTATTTCAAGCACAGATCCACACAAGCACTTTCAATGAAGCTTAAAAGTAAAGGAAAATAAAGTAATTTCATTTTAGTGCAAAAGATGAAAATAAAGTTTATCAAATTTCAAGTAGGATTTCACAATAAAAAGGAAAGGGGGGGGGATTATGATCTGCAGGTTATCTTTTATCCAAAGAGACCAATTATTGAGGCTTTATACTCAGATTTCGTAGAGAAATATATATATTTACAGTGAAATGAGTCTACTCGAGCTGTTCAGTTCGTCTACAATTTCCTTTTTTTTTCTTCTAAACTCAGCAGAATAAAGGGAGAAGATAATATCAGCAAACAGACAATAAAGAAAACAAAATTTTCTTTACCTGATGTTCTCTCAGGAGCCAAATAGGCAGTAAGAATCAAACATACCTCGTGCATCCGCCAACCGAAGGCTAACCACTTATCACACTCCGACCTACTTAATTTTCAGCTCAAAAGAAAACCCTTTAAGAAATTTTTAAACCAATACAATCCAGAAAGAAAAAAAGTAAATTAAATGAAAAAACCTGACCTTTAATAGACGGAGCAGACTATTAAGTTAAAGAAAAAGGAAAAGAAGAAGAAGGGAATGTTCGTAAGAGAAGTTGAGAACAGCAGAAAGCCACAAAGAATGTAACAGGGGGGGGGGAAGAGACTTTCGGGAGTATTGAAGCCGATACCCTTCTAAAAAGAGTCCACTCTTTAGCAATTGAACCAAACTATAAATAATATTTTGGGTAAACTACACGGATATTCCCTTTTATATTTGATCTGTTCGATTTAATCACTGGTTTTCAATAAATTTAGTTTTGATCATTTATTTTTTCGGATTATATTTTGTCACTCTGCTAGATTATTGATTTGACACATTAACATTTTTTTAATTTTAAATTTTAAATTTTAAATTTGAACTTTAGACTTTTGAAAGTTCATTTTTGACCTTCGTTAGTCTATATTTATGCTTCACCATTCCCATCGGCAAACACCTTTCCTCCACCAAACGCCTCCCTCCTTCGCCGGTTGGGGCCTCTTTCAGAAATGCTGTAGCCAATACTTAACTGTTGATATCTTCATTGCATTTTTCATCAGTCCAGAAGTTTCTCATTATATTCGATTTGGACTATGGTGGATAGCACTTGGTGTTGCATCTTCAAGTGGTCTTGGTAAGAAAAATTATGATTGTCTGGAGGAGCATGCTTGATGAATATTATTTTATCAGCACAACTTTGGATTTGATTAGGGAACTTCCGATAGATCCCACAAATATTTATTTATTATATATAACAATTAGTATATTAACCCTGAAGAGAGTATTATATAAAAAAATAAACTACAAATACAAGTATATTAACAAAATTAGAATTTATATCATGAAACGAATGTTTAATACATTAAAATTTATACCAAAAAAATACAACACAAAATTCATTGATACGAGTTATAACTGTTAACCATTAATTTTCCCCACTTTTCTTCTACGTTTCATGCTGAGTTTCTTTTTATACCAACAAAAAAAAAGGCTGCATTCTTCTCCAAACTCATCTGGTTTTAAGTATAATAAAGCTACAATGCGAGCGATAACGCCATTGATAACAAGGACGATTAAACAAAGAGAGTAGTCATCGAGATTATAACCCCCAGATTCCAACGATTTGCAACGAGTTAATAGCCAAACTCCAGAGTACCTAAAAATAAACATATTCAGGATCTCTTATTCAAACTCCACATTACAGTATAACTTGTTCTTGGATGATCCCGAGATTCGATTTGCATCTATACTCGATAGATTTCATCATATAAATGTCAAATATGAATATACTTTTTGTTAAGATAAAAATATCGTTATGGTAAGATCTTATCTATACACTAATACTTAAACAGAATTAAAAAAAAAGTATAATGTCAAACAAAATATCCTACCGTTCGACTAAATAGTTGACTTTTATTCCTTTTGTTTTAGTATTTTGGTCTTGAACTTTTTGTTTTAAGACAAAAGTACACTAATGTTTGATTAAATAGTCAATTTTGACTCTTTTTCTGAATATTTTGACTCCAACATTTTATTTTATAATAAAAAGATCTTTATTTTGAAGTGTTAATCATTTGTTGGCTAACAGTTTTTATACACAGAGAATCTTTTGTGTTAGAATAAACATTTGAAATTAAAATATCTAAGAAGATTAAAATTATCAAATGTTAGAATTATTTTTTGAGATCATGTCAGATAGGGAAAGGAAAAGAGGGAAGACATTATTAACCTTTCAGCATTTGAAATGACAAAAGCTTCCAGAGCCCATTTGGTGTAGCAAAATTTGCCAAAATATTTCTGAACCATACTATCTTTTCCCTGGTTTGCAACTAGAGTCAAAACAACAGGAACAAGCGCTGCCCACTGAGGAAAGAAATTATGATGCTCATTAGCTAAAATAATAATTCAGAGAAAACAGCCAATATTCCATTAGTTGATGTAATGATAAAGCTTTCTAGAACATACCAGTTGGGCTAGACTAGGTATAAAAGCAATGGCTAATATATAAGCCATACCAGTGACACAGTAAACAAGGCACATCAATATAACGTAGTTATCTTCGAAGCTTGATCTTGGATTGTTGAAGAAGTAGAACATTGATAGATATGCCACTGGTTTTATAATGACGTTGAAGTTATCGATTGTGTCTTTGGATAAGAAATGAGCCAGGCTGCTGATCCCAGCTTCGGTCTCCCTTTTGTATTCTAACTTATCGAGTGAATACGTTCTCAACGCTGCGATCATTGATAACAGTGCTGCGAACGAAGGTGATTTAAGTTGAGAACACAATGATAGCATGAGTATGTTAGCCAAGTTTCTTTTTTTTGGTTTGACTTACATACTGCAATGACTGAATATGTGTAGCCAGCGTTATCCAGTGTTTCATCCGTGACTTTGGCAAGTGTTCCTAAGCAGGCTCCAGCAAGTAGTAGGATCATTAAATCAACGGCTTGCATCTGACCTTCTCGTAGTCTCTGTTTAAGAACCCTGAAATTTTGCCATAGGGTAAATCATTTAATTCAATCTACAAGGAGGCCATCCCTTTACATCTAGGTGTTTGATACATAACAAATATTCATATGATGGGAACACTGGTGTTGGCTTATACCTGCCAAGGAAGTATCTGTACTGGCGAAATATACCCGGTTTTTCTGTTTGATAAGTTTAAATTTCGAGACACTACTTTTTGAATCTTCAGGCATGTCTGCGGAAAAGATTGTCCACCAGAAGTATTTATTTGAACCAGAGGGTGTGGCAAGTCCTTCAGTCAAATCGAGCATATCCACTGGTACTGAGTAGCCATTATGTACATCCATCGGACAGGAAGCTGTTCACGGGTCACTGATGCTGGCTTCTCGATCCCTTCCAGAATGTCGATTAAGTGGTCTGGAGGATTGACGCGGTCAGGTACATCGATCCCTATGCTGGAAAAGTATTCTTCAAGCTTCTTCACAGGTCCAAGATATGCAATCAGACCACCTTTGGCTAGAAGTATTAAATCATCAAACATCTTGAACAAGGCATAGCTGAATCCGAAGAAACTAACAATTAGCTTTACAAATTGGAAAACCGAAATGCAGCTATTTCTTGATGTAATTTCAGCCTTTGGCTTTTAGAAAGAATCGTACCTTGGTTGGTGAAGTACCATGCAGATGTTTACTCCTTCAAGAGCTTCACGTCGAAGAGCTCGAAGGAGCAACTGTGATGAAGAACTGTCTAACCCAGTAGTAGGTTCATCCAAGATCAATAAAGAAGGTTCCATAACCATCTCTAGTCCAACATTTACACGTTTTCTCTGGCCTCCGGAGATCCCTCTCTTCTCCACTGTCCCAACAATTGAATCTCTTACTGGCTGTAATCCCAAGGACTCAATCACCCTTTCGATAACCAAAACTTTATCGGGTTTTGGCAGGTGCGCAGATAGTCTTCAATGAAGTAGAATCCACCAAAATAATAAAGTAAGAATGAAACTTATAGGATGCAAAGTATCAAACATAAAGACAATAACTATGTTCTACATGGATGGTTATTTACAACATGACCATTTGTAAAGTAGTCCGTTGGAAAATCTACCATGTTGTTTGAGCTAAATTGGTACCGGTTATAATTATTTCATAAAAAATCTTCCTGATTTTCACAATTTTCTTTTAATTTAAATTGCATGAAGCACATATACTGCATCAACCTAACAATTCCAAGGAATACCAATACAACCAAGATTACAGAACTGGTGATTATAATCGAGCAAAGGTCTTCTAATATAACACAAGACGTATGATGCATCTTTGAATTCTATGATCAACCAGCTACAGAATGGTATGCTGTCTGAAACTGAGCTGTCTTTATAAAAAAGCTGATGAGATGATAGCTACTGTTAGATTGTATCACAAGTTTGAAAGCACATACCTGCACCTTGCACTGAATCGAAGGTTCTCCTCTACTGTCAAGTTTCCATGCACTATATCATCTTGAGGAACATATCCAATTTTTCTTATATGCTTGGATAGGTTCGTTTTTTCCGTTCACAAGAATCAGGCCTGTAACAGTGCATCCATCAGCAGTTTTCCCTGTCAAAGCAGATAGAAAAGTAGTTTTCCCGGCTCCTGATGGGCCCATAACTGCGGATACACGACCAGGACTGAGTTTCCCGGTGACACACCTGAGCAGATGTTTATTGTTCTTCTTCAAAGTGAGGGTTAGATCCTTAAAATAATCTCAATCATAGGCCTGGTCCGGATATTGCTATCTGTAGCCATTGATATTATTCCTGAGAAGGTCAGATTCTGGTTCTGTTGTGCTTTTTCCTTCTCAATTTGACCATAGGCATACTTGAATATTTGACTTTGAGTATGCAACTGTTTACCCTTTGGTGCTTGTTTTTTCACATTTTCCCCTCCAATATGCACATCAATACCCTCATTACTTTTGGAATCGTCGTCTTCAAGGGAATGCATCAGTTTTGTGAGGTCGCCTGGTTCCTTTTTCTTGTCTTTTGAACCTCTAGGTACTTGCTCTGGTAACTCAGGTTCAGTAGACTTACTAGCACCCGATGCCTTCGTCTGTTCAGGTCGCCTTTGTGATCTTGCTCGAGAAAATGTCTTCGAAAGCTGAGACTGCCAACCTCCCTTCTTCGCAACATCTTTTGCTGCTTTCCACCTTTCCCTAGCTTGTGCAGTTTCACGCACATGCTTCGCCGCTGCTTCTCGGGACTTAGCCTGTCTTCTTCTTTAGTACTAATAACTTGATCGGAGAAATTATAAATAATGAGCAGCAGAAGACTGAGTCCAACCTACTTATTCAACAAAGAGGTGCAACGGTCAACTCGTCAAAAACGGTGCTACAGCAAAGCTAAAATAGATGCTATTACAGAGAAAAAGGAACGCAATTTAATTCTGCATAATCAAAGACAAGTTAGTAAACCACTTACGAAAAGCATGACGCCATAACCATGAATATTCTGGTTCGACGTATTCGGATTGCAGGTAGTTAATTTGAAGCAAGCTGCAAAGTATTCACAGAAATCCAATTAAAAGGGATATCCATCTTTTGTTAAATGAACCAACAGCATTCAGCAAAACGTTGCTGCATATGCATCAACTGTAAGTTAGACACCTTAAGGCTTGGAGCAAGGAATGTTGATAGAATCAATGGTACGGAATTGCAAATAAATTTTGTGGTTCATAAATCATTTCCAACAAATCTTCCACGGTGATTCAAAGGATATACTTTTGAAGCACTTACACACTCAAACATTGTGAGTTTAGGGGAAAAATGTGAATAAAAATTCAAAGTAAACTACCAGGAAGTCTGTCTGTTATACAAATAATAAGAAAAGAAACAAACTTACAAATTTGGGTGGTGGAACCCTTTCTGCAGTAATGCCTAAAATTGCATCAAAGGAACTTATCAGTAAACGTAAACTGCACGCATGGAGTATTTTCATAATATCATCAAATCACGTATGCTATCTTGAGATAGATACAAGTTCTGGAAACAACTTTATCGATGCTATGAGTTCAGGGATAAAAGTAAATACCCCTGACTGCAAGAAATTTTGTTAAGGGTATCAGGGCAGTATGATCCTGGCGAACAGAACATCGAAGTACTACTCCCAACATCGGCCCAAATATCGGCAGTGCCGCAACTGTGGTTCGGCTTTCCAGGGGAATTTGGTAATTATATCTGCAAAAATTTTCGACCAATAAAACGCAATGCCTATCGTACACGGTAAGATCATGTGAAAGTAGAAGAAAAGAGATGAACTTACGGATCACAAACTCCGGTAGATTTATTCAGCGATGCAAGCGGACAATAAGAACCTAAAGGGCATGCTTCATTTTGCATGAACATGGAAAAGACAATAAATGTTCTTCATTCAGTTCCACTTCTATCAATATATAATTCCAGTTTTTTTATTAGCTTCATCACAAAAAACTTACGGATCACAACTCCGGTAGATTTATTCAGCGATGCAAGCGGACAATAAGAACCTAAAGGGCATGCTTCATTTTGCATGAACATGGAAAAGACAATAAATTTCTTCATTCAGTTCCACTTCTATCAATATATATTCCAGTTTTTTTTATTAGCTTCCATCACAAAATACCATGGGTACTTACGTATCATGCAAGCAAGCCCCCTTGGGCAAAAGAATCCTTCACAACAAGGTTGACAATCTGTGGTCCTGGAAGCATGTTATTTTCATCTTTCAGTTCGAAGTCCTGTCCGGTCAACAAACAAACCCCATCCCGGTTCACATCCGTCAACCCAGGATTTCAAATTGCAGTTCTATTAACTTTCACAAATCATTCATAATGTGGCAAGTTCAAGGGCATAGTATTTCACCCGGATAAAGCTTCATACCTTTTGTTTTCTTGATACAATTGGTAATGAAATCCATATTTTTTGTTAAAATTAAATGCTCCATTCAATCTTCTTTCCTGGAAAGAAAGAAGACATAACCACTAGTTCACTAAGGAATGAAGACAGAGAGACCAACCAACAGCAAAATGTGAAAGAACTACACATTCTTTATGCAGAAGCTCAAATCGCTGCCGATATCTTTGATAAAAAACGTGGTAATATTGGTAATCCGTTGGTGGATGAGGTCGTTACTCGGGAAGGACGGCGGGGTTTTGCGTCTCACTGTATTCATCCCCATCCACTGACTTTGAAAAAGGAAAGAAACTTAAAAAAAACAAGAAGAAACAAGTGGGATCTAACAACAACTCCGCTCATGTTGATGATCAACAGGGGACACTCTACAAATCACAAATCCTATCGAAAAACATAAAACAATCAACTATAATTGAATTCTGTGAATGAACCCTGGCATTGTAAACGGTAGATAATGTTTTTTTTTAAAACTCATGGTCTTGAGTTATTTTATCCTTGTTTCAAACAAGACCATGAACCTGACAAGGACCCTAAACACCAAAAAGAAAAAGAAGGAATTTGGGAATAGGGGTGGTTGAAAATCTGCAGACAAAAAATGAAGATTAACAAGAGGGAGAAGAATTGGATAGCCTTGAGAGTTAGACCCTTGAGAGAAAACAACAGAAGTTTGCTCAAAAGGGTGGAGTGGATGTGTGTTTGGATTTGAAAGGAGGACCTTGGTTTCGGGAATGAAAGAGATGGCTGGGAGAAATGGGTGGCGACATTGAAGGAAAATATGCTCTACCGTATGATTCCTAAGCATGCACCACACGTAAAATAAGTAAATGTAACGATCAAATACCAATGGATGAGTGACACAGTCTAAACAATAAAAAGTAAAAGTAAAACAAAATTATGATTTGAAATTACCCATCATTAATTCGTAAATAACTGATCAATTTAAAAGTAACTTTTATACTCTATAATGGTGTTCATTTCAAGTCGACATTCAACAATTAACTACTATGAAAAATTTTCACGACTTCGATCCAGAGGTAGAACTTGGGTTTAAATAATTGGGGTTTAGAAATAATATTAAATAATTTATATTTAGATTATTTATGAATATTTCTAAATATCCATTTATTTATATTAATCTAGAATATTCTCAAGATATTTATGCTAAATGATAATTCTATATTTACATAGAAGATTTGATTTGAACAACGATATTCAATCAACCTTATCTTCAACTATTTAATCTTTACTCCTAAATTTAACATGATCATGCCAAGATGCATTAAATATCTAGTAAAACTATTATATAACATTCTTAAAAATAAAGTATAACATATCTCTAGTCTAAGTATATAGCACAAAAATTCACCATCAATTAAATGTTTTTGCCCTGTTGTTTTGAAACTTCATTCTCAATCTTGTTTTATCCATGTCAATAATTTTAGACATGCAACAATAATAATAGCTCTAGAAATTTGGATGATAATTTTACAATTGCATCAATAGTAAAGTCAGAGAATGATATACTTGCTTCGACTTTTTTCTGTGGAACTTCTAGTTCTCCCTGATTTATTTTTTTTCTAGATCCTCCATAAGCTTGCAAATTTTCTCATTGATGTCTTTTAGACAAACTTACATGTATTTTAGTCTTCTCATGTACCACTCGTTCCTCTTTCAACTGTCGTCTAAACTTCATAGTTGACTTTTTCATCTTTAATTCAATCTCTGAAAATATATTATTCATTAATTCATGCTTATAGTTTCGTGAATAAACTATAGACACTAACAACAATTTATAAAAATGAGATGTAAAAACAAATAAAATACACATCATCAAACTAAGAAATATCATCTTAGTAAAGCAAGCGACTTTTTAAAAAATATTTTTCATTTTGATAACAGATAATGGCCTCTTTCTATCACATGATATTGAACATTGATACTCATCCCTACTATACTAATTCTATATAAAAAACACTAGGATTAATAATATTCATCGGAATGCTGTTACCCCCATTTTGTGTCATTAAATGCAAAGTTCGATCTACAAAGAAATCCAGATGTTATTCAAGATAACGGACAAGACTGATGAAATAAATTATTAAAGAACTTCATAAAGTTGAATATATCTAATAATGATAAAGGGTAAACTGAATTTAAATCTTGTAGAGATTCATTAGCGCTCAACAGCACGCCAACGGGCTTTTACATCATAGTCTATTTAAAACTACACATTTTATATATGAAAGATAAACTGTCACCATAAATTATACAGATGAAAGGTATTTCAACTGTAAAGGTCATCTTCATCAGCTCCGCCAGCAGAAGCTGTAAAGGGATCAGATGCTGGAGCCCTTGAACTAGTTTCAGCGAACCTGAATTCACTTCCAAATCCCCTTGATTGCTGCAATGTTTGTGCAAATGCCTGATACTTGCGGATATCAGCATCACTCACACTCCTACGAGCAAACTTCTCGATCCTCAAAATGTGCAGCCTTGATTTCTGCAACTTCATCCTCCACGTCTTCTTCCATGGCTTCAGGTTCTCTGTCCTCCTCCTTTCTCTCTCAATACCTAAAAAGGTGAATACATTCTCATCTTACAGTTTCAAACATAAAGGGAAAACACTGTATATTTGTACATACGATAAGTAATACGACAGAAAATAGTTATTACGATACCTTTTCAATGTTTTCTCTAATAGCATATTTGCATGCCCGCTGACAAATTTCAGTAATATCTGCCCCACTGAAGCCTTGAGTATATTTGGCAAGAGCTCTAAGGTCAACCTCTTTTGCTAATGGTGATTTCCTCAAACATGCCTTGAAGATCTGATACCGAGAGTCCTCATCAGGGAGAGGAATATAGATCAATTGATCAAGACGACCAGGACGCAGAAGTGCTGGATCTATAATGTCAGGGCGGTTGGTAGCTCCAATGATGAAAACTGTTTTCCTTGGCAGACATGCCATCCATCTCGGTAAGAAGCTGGTTCAAAACCCTATCAGCTGCACCTCCTGCATCACCTACACTACTTCCTCTCTGCAATATACACAAAAATCAGCAACATATGACGGCAGGCAAAACAAACCCAACCGGGTACAAAGACAAGCACGTTTTCCTTTATAGAAACAATCCATGCATTGAAACAATATTAGTACAGCACTATTAATCTGTAAAGATAGAATTTGAAGGCTGTGAACTTACCTGGGTAGCATTGAATCAAGTTCACGAAGAAGAGGACACAAGGTGCAGACTGGCGTGCCTTGTCAAAAATTTCACGGACATTAGCCTCACTCTCTCCAAACCACATTGTAAGTAACTCTGGACCTTTGACACTAATAAAGTTTGCCTGACACTCATTGGCAATAGCTTTGGCCAAAAGTGTTTTACCACACCCTGGAGGGCCGTAGAATAGTACTCCCTTTGAGGGTGACATCCCAAACTTCTCAAACTTCTCAGGATGCTCCACTGGATATTGAACAGTCTGTGCAGCAATGTAAATTGGTCAAGTTTTTTAATGAGAAACAGACAAGCAAAGAAACGAAAACCAGTTTGGAGTACTACCTCTTGAAGCTCCCTTTTAACATTCTCAAGGCCTCCAATATCTTCCCAACTGACATTAGGCACTTCAACAACCTGAGAAAATGTACGAAAAGAATGATCAGAAACAGAACTGAACCAAGAACTAATAATCAACAAAGAAATGTCATCCCAATTACTGACAGTTTCACGCAGTGCTGAAGGATTGCTTGTTCCAAGAGCAGTCTGGAAGTGATCATTTGTGACTGCCATAGAGTTGAGTATCTCTGCATCTATTGACTCATCTTCTAAGTCAATCACATCCATCTTTTCTCTGATGCACTGTAATGCTGCCTCAGTACAGAGGGCTGCAAGATCAGCACCAACATAACCATGGGTGTCCTTGGCAATTCTTTCTAAATCAACCTGTGCATTATGTCAGGAATATATAGTAGATTCAGTATCTTAATATTTCATAGGAAGAAAAGGGTAAAGGATTTTTAAGGGAAAGAAATAAATGTTTAGTTTTTGACACCACCTCATCAGCCAACTTCATGTTCTTTGTGTGTATACGAAGCACCTCAAGACGGCCAACTTCATCAGGGACACCAATATCAATCTCCCTATCAAATCTTCCAAACCTTCTCAGGCTGGATCAATGCTATTGGGACATTTGTAGCCCCTATCACAATAACATGTGCACGGGATTTAAGCCCGTCCATCAATGTCAACAGCTGAGAGACAATCCTCCTTTCAACTTCACCATGGGTCTTCTCTCGCTTAGGAGCAATTGAGTCAATTTCATCAATGAATATAATAGACGGCGCATTCTTCTCTGCTTCCTCAAATGCTTTCCTCAGATTGCTTTCACTCTCTCCAGCCAATTTTGACATGATCTCTGGACCGTTGATGCAGAAGAAGAAAGCACCAGTTTCATTTGCAACAGCACGGGCAATCAGAGTCTTTCCAGACCCAGGAGGTCCATAAAGCAAAATTCCTTTTGGCGGCTTCACACCAATTGATTTAAAGAGCTGTGGATGCCTCAATGGAAGCTCTACAAGTTCCCTAATCTGAGCCATCTGTTTTCTCACTCCACCAACATCATCATATCCTACCTCATCTAACCTGTCCTCATCCTCCCTCCTGATAGGCTCTCCCTCACAGAATATCTCTGTGTCTGTGCAACGACACAGTACTCAGGAGGATCAGTCTCAATAACCTTGAATTCTACACTTCTCATTCCACCTCTGACAAGGAACATATCACCCTTCCTTACTGGCCTGTACGCTTCCAGAAAGTAAGCTGTAAACCCACGATTATCATAGTCAGCAT